AACTACATAAACTTAAGAGTTAGAAATGAGTATGGCATGTTTACAGAAAATGGTGGGGGGAAAGCTTGGTCAGAGCAGAAGGTTCATTTTGAAAAGTAGTAGGAGGTAAAGTTGGATAGGAGAGCCTTGAATGCCAAGCTAAGAAGTTTGGAACATCTTATAGATAATGAGGAATTAGTGGGACTTTTGCAGCAGAACTAACACTAAATATTAAACAAATAAATGGCTTTGATACCAACACATTCATTATAAGAAGAAACTTCAACTTTCCTCCCTATCTGATCCCTGCTCCCACCCCAAAACAGATTCTGGATTTTTTATCCTTACTTCTTGAGATGGGAAAAGTTTAGTCAGTTCAACTTTTTAAATCAATGAAAAATTCATTCATTATTGCATTTTGAATTTTATTTCCTCATAAATTTGAAAAGTTACATGATTTAGCAGACAGAGAAAACTGAAGTCAAATGAGTTAGACCACTGTTTAGCAACCCAAGTTCTACCTAGTAACAGCAAAATATCTACATTTTCTATATGGAGAATTAAGACAAATTTAGAAGAACACAAGTCATTCCCCAATTGATAAATGGTTAAAGGATATGAACAGACAATTCTCAGATGAAGAAATTAAAGCCATCTATAGTTATATGAAAAAATGCTCTAAATCGTTATTTATTAGAGAAATGCAAATCAAAACAACTCTGAGGTACCACATCACATCTATCAGATTGGCCAACATGACAAAACAGGAAAATGATAAATGTTGGAGAGGATGTGGGAAAATTGGAACACTAATACATTGTTGGTGGAGTTGTGAAATGATCCAACCATTTTGGAGAACAATTTGGAACTATGCCCAAAGGGCTATAAGAATGTGCATTCCCTTTGACCCAGCAATAGCTCTCCTAGGGCTGTATCCCAAAGAGATCAAACAAATGGGAAAAGGACCCACATGTACAAAAATAGTCATAGCAGCTCTTTTTGTGGTGGCAAAGAATTGGAAATTGAGAGGATGCCCATCCATTGGGGAATGGCTGAGCAAGTTGTGGTATATGAATGTAATGGAATACTATTGTGCTATAAGAAATGATGAACAGGCTGACTTCAGAAAAACCTGGAAAGACTTATATGGTCTGATGCTGAGTGAAGTGAGCAGAACCAAGAGGACTTTGTACACAATAACAGCCATGTTACGCAATGACTAAGAATGTTAAACTGAACCCTTCTCAGCATTACGAGCATCTAAGACATCTCCAGAGGCCTCAGGATGGAAAATGCTGTCCACATCCAAAGAAAGAACTATGGAGTTTGAATGCAAACTATTTGCTATTTTTTTTTCTTCTGTTGTGTTTTGTTTCCTCTTTCTGGTGGTTCCTCCTATTGGTCCTAATTCTTCCTTACAACATCACTAATGTGAAAATATGTTTAATAGGAATGTATATGTAGAGCCTATATCAGATAGCATGCTGTCTTAGAGAGGGAGATAGTTAGGAAGGGGGAGAAAAATTTAAAACTCAAAAGTTTATGGAAGTGATTGTTGAAAACTAAAAATAAATTAATTAATAAAATGGAAAAAAAAACCCAAAAACTTTAGGCCAGTAATTGAGATTTGGATTCAACTTGTCCCCAAGCATCTCGTGCTTAAGGACAAATCTCAGAAGTTTATGTTGAAGAAGAATATGGGCCAGTATTAAAAAATAGCCCCATTTGAGGTGGGATCACCATTACTGAAGGTCTTTTGGCAAAGCCTAGATAACTAGTTGGGACAGCTAGGTGGCACAGTGTCTGCTTCAGCGTCCTCTCTTGGCCATTGGAACAAATTGTTCTCATCTACCCATTCCACAGAGGAAGTTTTCATATGCTTGGAGTAGACATCAGGTCTGAGGCCTGTCAGTTATCCCCAACCTAATTTAGCCTGCCTGCCAAGACAGTTAACCAGAGTGTGGCCACTGCTCATGCTACAGCTTCTTGGAGCCACAGATGAGAGTTGGGTGAATCAGGTAGACACCAAAGATGGATGAGAAGCCCTAAAAAGGGCTCAGCAAGCCCTCATAACAGAGGTACTAGTCCTCCTGAACATCTCATATACCTCTCTGACATTTAATACCTGTATATATGCATATATATATGTGTGTACGTATGTATCATCCCCTTCTGTTCACCCTACCCTAGTGATCCTGAACCCCTAGCAGTCAATGTATAAACTCCATTCTCCATCCTCATCTCTGTTTCCTCAAGACTACCCACCTCAGACCTCAGATACACATGGAGATAGTCATAGCCTTGATCTTGCCATTACCCAAAACTGTTCAGCTTAAATGTTCATGAACTCTGAAATTCTTTTCACTGCTCATAATCTTTTATTATTCCATCTTTCCCTATGCCTTATAACCACAACCTTTTTTTTCATCCTCACCATCTTTATTGTAAGCTCCATTCTCACCATCCCTCAGTTCTTCCCCAGATCATCTACCCTTTCCTAAATCAACCCTTGGTGAACCAAGTCAATTCCACACTATCCTCCACCCTAAATTCTTTTGTGCCTTTTTTGCTACTAGAGATCATATTTTGAAAACCCCCAATCCACATTACTCCTATCATTTGCCTCCTTTGTATCTGAATGAAGTAAAGGAAATAATGAAAACATACAGACTAGGTACACTACAAACCAGTGTTATATAATCTCAACTGGGCCTTCACATCAGCTAGGCAAACATTCCTCCCAACCTGATTCCTCCCTAACTGATTCACTATCCCACTCTCTACAGTGACTGTTCTAAACCACATCTCTACTCAAGCCCCCCAGGCCACCCCTCCTTCCCCTAGCTAAGGATATGGTTTCATATTCTGCTAAAGAAAAAAAACTGAGACCAAGAGCTCCTCTCTCTCCTGTCCTCTTCATCCCATATCTCTCAGACATCTACATCTATCATCTCCTCCTCTCCATTCTCAGATGAAGAAGTGGCTTTTTTCCTTGCTGAGACCTCTGCATGTGCCCTTCCAACTTCTCCAGCAAGTTGCCCCCATGCTCATCATCTGCACTCTCTTCTTTAATCTTTCGCAATCTACTGGCTCCCTTCTTACTGTCTATAAACATGCCCATCCTTCCTCTGTCTTTAAAAAAGCCTCACTTAATTCCAACATCTCTGCATCTCTCCTCTCTTTTGTGGCTAAATTCATTGACTAAGCTATTATCAGTGCCTTCATCTCCTCTCTTCCAGCTTCTTTCTAAACCTCCCTGCCTTCTGACTTTCAGCCTCATTATTCAGTGGAAACCACCTTCTCCAAAGTTAGCAATGCTCTCTTAATTGTTCGATCTAATGGCCTTTTCTCAATATGGATCCTCCTTGACCTCTTTATAGCCATTTAGACTAGTGATCGTCATTTCCTTCTGAATACTCTCCCTTCTCTAGGTTTTTGTGACACTCCTCTTTCCTGTCTTCTGACCACTCCTACTCAATCTCCTTTGCTGGTTCTTCATCCAAACCATTCCTTCTAACCATAGTATCCTCCACTCTGTTCTATTTTTCACTGTATACTACTTCACTTGGTGATCTCATCAGCTGTCATGGATTCAATTATCACTTCTAACCAGATTATTCCCAAATCTACTTATCCAGACCTACCCTCTTTGCTGAGCCACAGTCATGCATCTCCAACTTCCTCTTGAACATCCTGAACTGAATGCCCCAAAGGCATCACAAACTCAATATGTCTAAAAACAAACTCATTATCTTTCCCTCCTCCCAACCCTCTCTCTTCCCAACTTCCCTGTTATTCTCTAGGGTACCATTATCCTACCAGTCATTCAGGCTTACAGTCCTGGTTTTATTCTCATCTCCTTATTCACACTCATCTCCTATAACCAATCTGTTGCCAAGTCTTATTGTTTCTACCTTCACAATATCTCTCATCAATGTCTCCTCTCCACTCACACACTCCAGTCACAATCCTAGTTCACCTTATCATCTCACACTCAGATTACTGCAGTAGCTTCCTAATGAATCTCCTTGCCTCAAATCTCTCCCTGCTTCAATCCATCCCACTACTCCAATGGGTTTTCTAAAGCAAGGTCTAACTATGTCACCTCCTATTAGTGAATCCCACCGTTCAGTGAACCTCAGTGGTTCCATATTACCTCTAAGACCAGATATAAAGTTTGCTGTTTGGCATTCAAAGTTCATCATTACCTGGCCACCCCTTCCTGCCTTTCCACCCTTCTCACATCTTACTGCCCTCCATGCATTCTATAGTTCAGCTGGCTTGGAGTTCCTCAGATAGAACAATCCATGCTCTCCCCTCACCTCTGCCTGGCTTTCTTTTTTCTTTTTTTTTTTGGTGAAGCAATTGGGGTTAAGTGACTTGCCTAGGGTCACACAGCTACTAAGTGTTATGTGTCTGAGGCCAGATTTGAACTCAGGTCCTTCTGACTTCAGGTCCAGTCCTCTAACCACTGCACCACCTAGCTGCGCTTCTGCCTGGCTTTCTTCAAGGCTCATATCAAATCCTATTTTTGCAAGAGGCCTTTCCTGGTCCTCCCAGTTACCAGTTTTTTCTCTTTTCAGATTATCTTTTTCAATTCTGCGCATGTCTACTTTCTGTCCAGTTATGTTCATGTTGTCTCCCCCCATGAGGATGTGAGCTCCTTGTGTTTTTACCTTTTTTTGTATCCCTAGTGCTTTGCACACTGCCTGGCACATTGTAGATATTTAACAAATGTTTATTGACTAACCATGAAATGAGGGTGCAGAGTCCATGGCTTCTGGACTCCATCCAGCTCTAGTTCCATAAAACATGGTCCTTGGGCTTTGAGACCAAAACATGCATAAATCCCTTCAAGTTTCACTACAATGTTGGCAGAGGTTTGTCAGGGTGGAATTCCCCCTACATTACAGCCCCTGACAGCCCGCAAAAGATTCTACTGCTTCACCTAATGAAATATGTATTAGATTGCTTAGCAACCCTGGGCTGTTTGTGTGACTCACACTAAGCCTTGACACACTTGAGCAGAACTGAATCATGGGAGACTGGAATGGAGTCACTCTTCCATTTTTATGAGCTCAGGGAGGAGTCAAAAGAAAAAGCGATTTATCTGTGTGGCTTCTTACAGACACTGAAATGAGAGAGACATTGGAAGCTCAGGTAGAACAGCAAAATGCTGGAAGAAACAGAATTAAGATGGACGGAAACATTAGGCTTCAATAACAGGTGAGGGCAAACTGCCCTGCGTAAAAGTTTATGGGAAATGGCTAAACAAATTGTGGTGCATAAATATAATGGAATATTACTGAGCTGTAAAATAATATGATTAATACAGAGAGTCATGAAAAAATTTATATGAACTGAATTTAAATGAAGTAAGGAGAACCAAGGAAACAATAAACAATTAACTACAATAACATTAATGGAAAGAACTGTAATAACAAAGGAAGGAAGGAAGAAAACAAGCATTTATTAAGCTCCTACCATGTGTTAGGTATTTGAAATGAATGATGCCATATTTTTATGACCAGGTTTGGTCCTAAAGAAGAAATATGAGAAGAAACTTCCTTGCCTAGGGTTCAGAGGTAGGGAAACACTACATGTAATGACAGATAGTTTTTTCTAATGTATTGGTTAATTTTGTTGAATGTTTTCCCATCCTTTTTATTCTGTGTTATAAAGAATGGCTCTCTGGGGAAGTATATTGGAAAATGTGCAGGGATGTGCTGATAACTGTTTAACAACCAGGTCACCAGAAATATATATATATTTATATATATATAAGTATATATACATACATATATATATATATATATATATGCTCAACACACTTTTAAGTTCAACCAGTATTATTATTAACATTTTCTCCATGACTTTCTGAAGTCTAGATAATCAATAGAAAATAAATAAATAAATCAGGTCTTGATTTGTAGCATTTGGCAATTTCCAAAGGGTAAATGCTCACACAGAAAACTGAATAATCAGCTCTCAGAAGCTGTACAAGCTCCATCATGTCCTTGAATGTAGGTAACAAAAAATAATAACAAAAGATATAGGTAAAACTTAAAAAGAAAATGTGTGATCAGTTCATGTTATCTGCTATCTGTCTCCTCAGAGGCAGAAGACCAATTGTTCCTGAAACCTTTAACTCCTTCTCTCCCCTCCTTTCCAACACCTTCTGTGCATGAACTAGGAGATGGCCTATAAAAGCTTTGAGTATGTCCTTTTCTAAGTCACTGTTCTCATGGAGCCCACATTCTAATCAGATAAGTTACCACATAAAGGAAGGTTCTATTTCATGGCCCAGAAGGTGATTTTTGGCAGAAAAAAGGAGTAGGGCAAGTGGCAAACCTCAAAGACACTGGGAAGCACAGGCGAGGCAGATAATTCCAGACTAAAAGTATGTGGGGCTGAAAGTTCAAAGTGGAGTGGAGCTCTGGGATACCTCTGGCAGTGGTGGGAATGAGGGAGAAATGGAAACGTCAGGATCCATCTAAGAGTGGGCTGTCTAGCATCTGGTGGGGACTGGGCAATAGGGCAATGGGAATAGGACTGGGGAAGGAGAGAAGATCTCTGGACCTACACCATGGACAGCCAGTGCTGATATGGGTCTTGATAGGCTGGGAAACCGGAAAGAAGAGGCTTTGTGATGTATATCACTGGTGGGGGCAGTGTGGGGGCAGAACACACCAATGAAATCACAGAACCTTCAAGGTATTCTCTACTGCTTTATGAATTGTTGCTGGGAGGAAGGGGCAGAGAAGTGGGACAAAGGTCACTAGGCTTTTCAGTCTTCTCTATCCAGCCCAGTGGGGTAGATGGGGTATACAGGGAGGACCAGCAACTCTGGTGAGACTCCTCACCCACATTTGGTGTCCATCTGTCACCCAACTCTCAACCATGGCTTCAAGAAGCTATAGCATGCTCAGTGGATACGATTGGATAAATCCATCTCAGCAGACAGATTAAACCACATTGAGGGTAACCAACAGGGTTTAAACCAGTCAGTGATAGAGGGGGATGTCTACCCTGAGCATGTGAAGATTTCTTCTGGCAGAATGGGTGGGTGAGAACCATTTGTTCCAATGGCCATGAAGGCAGCTGAAGCAGGTGCTATGGAGCCCTTAGAGTCTGGTCAGATGTTGAAGACACCAAGATCATCCACCACATCCTGGGCTGTCACCAATTGTCCTGATTTTCCTCTTGCCATTAAGACTGCGAAGATTCTGGAAGAGAGAGTGAGGCTGACGATTTTGTGCAACTCTGCCTCACTAAAATCCGATTCAGGCACAAGTCAAGACATCACTTATATCGTGATGTCATTGGTCTACTTCAAAAACAAAGGACCAACAAAGACAACAACCAGCCCAGTCCCGTCATTTGCATAGAACAACAGAGGAGCATGCTGAAGAATTATAAGACAACCTCCTTGTCACACTTTCATTCCTTCGCCATTTGATAAAATTGAGCCCTAGTAATATTTGCCTCAATCTAGGGGAGAGGGATACAATATTATTATTACCTTTCCCCCTAAACACCCTCTGCAAAGGGCAACATTACCTTCCCAGTCCCTTAGAAATACTACAAATTTTATTCTTCACGACAGAGCAGAAAGCACTTAGAAAACTACTTTTATAAGACCAATATTGTGCTGCTACCCAAAAGAAGGAAAGAGGACTACAGACCAAGTTCACTAATGAATACTGATGTAAAAATTTTAAATAAATTTCTCACAAAAAGCCTATAGAAAATATCCAGAAAATAATTCACTATAATTTAGTTGGAAGTACAAAAATGCATATAATAAAAATAGTAGTAGTAATTAAAAATGTTTCTGATGATAGGTGAAATAAATGTAGAACCATAAGGGACTACTTCCAGAAAGGGGAGCATAAAGAACCCACATCCTGTCATAGAAGATGGTTGAGGACAAGGTAGCTCAAAAAAGAGTACCTTCTGTGAGCAGCCTGATGAAGGGAACAGCTTCACAATCACTGGCTGAAATAGCTGACCAAAGAAAACAGTAGCCCTCCCTTGAAGGGCAGAGGCTTACCAATAAGGTATCCCTAATCCCGTCAGTGGATAGTAGAGTAGAAAGTAAAGTGACTTGCCCAGGGTCATGCAGTTAGTAAATGTCTGAGGTAAGATTTGAACTCAGTCATCCTGACTCCAAGGCTACATCCACTGCATTGCCTAGCTGCCTAATGGGTCAGAGGATTTCCCAGGGGCTATGGAGAGCACACAGTCAAAGGAGACTATGTAGTCCAATCCCCTCATTTTGACGAGGATACTGAGGCCCAGAGAGGTTATAACTCTTTCAATGCCACATAGCAAGTTAGTTAGCGGCAGACTCTGTCCCCGGATGCAAGTCTTCTGACTATCTGGTGTTATTTCCATTTTACATGCTTCCTTCCATCAAGCTGCCGTTGCTAGGTCAGTCCTGTGACACTTGACCTTCAGGGTTTTGTACTTACAATTTAGAATCATTAACATGTCCATTTCAAGAGTTTTGGAGGCTGTAATAGTCATTAAAAGCTCACTTTATCAAAGTCACAGAAATGTGATTGGGGACCTGGAAGATTCAAAGCCAGATCATATGGTCTTGCCATCTAGTTCTATTGTTTGGCATTGTTAACAGTTCATAATGCAAATTCAAGAGTAACAGGCATCTCCAAATGAGCGTAAGATGTTGGAGTCTTTGTCCCAGGCACTGGCATCCTGGAAGATGTACTTCCAAGAGCAATCAAGCAATCTATCAATGAACATTTAGTGAGCGCCTACTGTGTGCCAAGCACAGCGCTAAGTACTTGGGATACAAAAAGAAGCATTAGGAAAAGTCTCTACCATCAGAAAAAGTTTGCTTCCCACTCCACACCCCTAGGCGAAGTTCCACTCACCCAGCTGATATGATCCCTCTCCCTACCTTGAGCAGCCACCCCAAGACACCTAGGCCCAATATCTATCAAGACCCTCTCCTAGTCAACCAACAAGTATTTATTAAAAGCCTACTAAGAGTCAAGCACCGTGCTAGGCTCTGGGGATGTAAACACAAAAAAATGAAACCATCATTGTTCTCAAAGAGTTTACATTTTAACAAAGGAGACCCCAAATGTATAGTGAGATAGAGATAGACAGAGAGATAGCACTACATGTGTATATGCATAACACAAAGAAAATAAATGCAAATAAATCTAAGGCAGTTAAATACAAAGTATCTTGGGAGAGAACACCAGCAGAATTTCTAGTTGTAACTCTGGGTATCTTCCCTGTGTTTGCGTCAGATAACATGTAACAAAGCATTAGTATGGCACGAGAAAGGAGTTCATGGAAAATTGTGTCATTTCCTCTAGGGCAGAACTCCAATCTCAACTTGACTTTGCCTCAGATGCTCTATATGCCACCCTCCAGGCTTCCTGTCCTTTTCCTGACCCCCAAGGCTCTGGAATTCGATTTTTACAGGGTCTTGGCAATATAATTGTCTCCACTTGTTGCTGCTGCTGCTGTCACTGTGGCTGCCAGGTAGGCGATATCCTGTGCATTCATTCTCTCAAATGATCACTAAAGCATGACGGACTTCCTTCAAGACTGACCCTCGTCTTCTGTCATTCCCTGACTCATACTGTGCCAAGGACATTTTACCCTCTCAGTGAAGACTTCTGCTTCAGTATTTTTGCAAATCTGAGTGATTCATAAACATTGAATGTTGTTCCGAAATCACTTAAGTTAAACAATGAGTCATAGGATCTAGAGCCCAGAGAGACCTCAGATGATGATGATGATAATAATAATAACATTTATGTAGCACCTACTTACTACTGAGGGAAACATAAGTGAAGTGACTACCTGCCCAGGGCCATAGAATTCATAAATGTCTCAGACCAGATTTGAACTTAGGTCTTCCAGCGCTCTATCCACTGTGCCACAGAAGTTATTCTTCTTATCTTGCAGATGAGGAAATTAAGACCCTAGAAGGTTAAGGGATTTGTCAAATTGCCCACAGGTAGTAGTCATCAGAAGTAGGATTTGAACCCCAATCTTCTGACTTTCCAAGTTAGATCTTTTTCCATTGTGCTGTTCTGTCCTAATACTCAAACATTTTCTTCCTCTAAGCTACCCACCTATGAGGACAGGTTGCCTAGAGTCTTATTAGCAATAATATTAAATGTTAACATTTATATGGAATTCTAAGATTTGACAGTCACTTCACATATATAATCTCACTTGACCCATGCAATGATCATACGAAGTAAATGCTATTATTATACCTGTTTTACAGATGAGTAAAGGGAGGCTGAGAGAAGTTAAGTGACTTTTCCAGAGCCACATGGCTAATAAGTAACTGGAACAGTATTCAAACTCAGATCTTCGTGACTCCAAGTCCAGTGCTCAATCCACTGTATTACCTAATCACAGAATGACAAAGAAAAAAAAAAGGTAGAGGCAGGTGGGGGATACTTAGAGATCACCTGGCCAAGGGTTTCTTAACCTAGGATCTATAAGCCACCAAGAAATCAGTAGATAGATTTCATGGAGTTCATGAACTTGAATGGGGAAAAAAACGTTTATTTTAATACGATATGTCTCCTTTATCCTCCTTTGCATTTTATTTTGTGCATTTAAAAACATGCTTCTACAAAAAGTTCCATAGGCTTCACCAGGGACCGAGGCACAAAAAAAAAATTAAGAAGCCCTATTCTGGCCCAACCCCCTGCTTTTATAGATGAAGATAAAGCACAGAATAGGCCAACCTGGTCACACAGAACTCCAGTGGCTAGGGATGTGCTGAAGCCAGCTCTTACTGGCTTGTGAGAGTTGATTGCTACATTTTCAGTGTGACCATTTACACCTTAGAAAGCAGAAAACTCTACGTATCAGGGCTCGATTTATTGTTTTGTTGATTGTCTAGATTTAAGAAAGTGATAGAGAAAATGTTAATAATTCACATTAAATGTAAAATTATGTCAAACACACTTTTTTGCAGATGGTTATTAAATATTTACCAGCACATCCCTGCATGTGGCAAATCCAAGCCTCTAACCACATCAAGTCTACAAACCCAGTACTCTTTCCCTTACATGATGCATCTGTCTTGCAGGATAGTTTTTGCCCTTACCTTTAGAAAAATCTCAGACCTATAAAAGCAAGAGGGGTTTAAACACACTCAACATCTGTGCTACTTTCACTCTGTGTCAGTTATATTACCCAGAGTCGTAATTAGAGTGTAGTTAATCATTTATCTTGGAAAGCCATGGGATACTCAGAGCTGTTCTTCCTGACGAATTTACATTTTTGCCCCCCTATAGCTTAGAAACAGCGAGCCGGCAAAATGGATAGAGTGCCGGACTCAGAGTCAGGAAGCCCTGAGTTCAAACATAACCTCACAAATTTGCTAGTTGTGTTTAACCTTAGATAAGTCACAATCTCTATCTGCCTCAGTGGCCTCATCTGTTAAATAGGAATAATGATAGCACCTCCCTCAGAAGGTTCTCATAAGAGATAATATTTTGTAAAAGCCTTGCAAACCTTAAAGTGCTATGTAAATGCTAAATATTATTATTATTATTATTATTATTATTATTATTATTATTATTATTATTATTATTGGACAAACATATGAAGAAAAATTAGAGTCTGTGGCCAGTTCCACAGACAGCAAAGATCTGAAACTACCAGGAGAAAGTTGTGGGCTCTATAATGTAATCATCCAGGAAAATGAAACTTGGCAAAGATGAGAGCTTAACCCAAACAAAACAGAAAACTGCTCTTGGTCCGTACCCTGCTCCAGGACAGACGTCAACAAGACAAGTCTCTCTTAGAAGGAAAACTCTAACATGACAAGGGAGCTAGGAATGGCTTCTTGTGAAGGCTGAGATTTTAATTGAAGCTTGAATTCAAGAAAGATAGGAAGGGGGAATAAAGGGGTGGTGGTGGCATATAAGAGATACTGGAAAATAGAATCAATATGACTTAGAAATTAAGTGGAAATGGAGGATGAGAGTGAAAAAATGAACATTTATTAAGTAGCTAGTATATGCCAGGCACTGTGCTAAGTGCTAAGGATACAAAAAGAGGCAAAAAAAAAAGTTCCTGCTCTCAAGGAACTTATAATCTAATGAGGGAAACAACATTTCAGATTCTTCAAGACTCCATTTGGAGCTTTCTTGGCAAAGATACTAGAGCAGTTTGCCATTTCCTTCTTCAGCTTCTTTTCTCGGTGAGGAAAATGAAGCAAACAGGGTTCAATGACTTGCCCAAGGTCACACATTTAGTAAGTGTCTGAGTCTGGATTCGAACCCAGGAAGATGAGTCTTCATGATTCCAAGTCCAGTGCTCTATAAACTATACCTGATACAGGAAAAAAAAGGAAATAACTAACAAAGGGAAGGCTGTGGAATTAAGAGAAGTTGGGGAAGGCTTCCAGTAAAAAAAAAAATGGGATTTTAGCTGGCACTTAAAGGAAGCATTTAGGAAGTACCTATTATGTGTGAGGACAGGAGTTGAGGGTACAAACACAAAAATCAAAAGCAATCCTTGCCCTCCAGGAGCTAACATCCTACTGGAGAGTTGTCACACTAAACAGGTAAGTAGTAATTAAAATCCTCCTGCAAAAATCTGTAATATCATTTCCCTTTGGAAATTATTATGGTATTTGAACAGGATGATAACATAAACTTCACTCCAAAAAGAGGCTTTTAAAGCCCCAAGTACTTTAAAGAACTTTGAAGTAGTTTTATCCATACTTGAATATTTAAGAAGAGTGAGAGTGCTGAGAGTTCTTATAGGAATGGCTCCTAAGCTGTGCCTTGAGGGGTGCTAGGAATTTTAAGAGGAAAAGGTGAGGAGGGAGTGCATTCCAGTTATGGGTAACAGCTTGTGCAAAGACATGGAGGTTGGAGATTAAAAGAAAAGTTCAGGGAAAAGCCAGCAAGCCAGTTTGACTAGAATGTAGAAATGGCATGGAGGAATGTGTCTGGAAATTTAAGTAAAAAAAAAGGTTTAAATGCCAAGGTAAGGCATTTGCATTTTATCCTGCAGGTAATAGGAAGCCACTGGGGATTTTGATGAAAGGAGTAGCATGATCAGGTTTATGCTTTAGGAAGATTACTTTAGGGGCAGGTAGGTGGCACAGTGGATAGAGCACCGGCCCTGGAGGACCTGAATTCAAATTTGCCCTCAGATACATAATACTTACTAGCTGTGTGACTCTAGGCAAGTCACTTAACCCCAATTGCCTGACCAAAAAAAAAAAATGTAACTGGGAAGATTATTTTGGTAGCTAAGTAGAGGAAGGATGGGAGAAAGGAAAAACTAAAGGCTGGTGGTGGTTCCATTAAGAAGGGGGAAGAGGGAAGGGAATAAGCATTTATTGATTGCCTAGCTAAGCATTTATGTAGTGCCTACTGTATGTCAGGCAGCTAGATGGTTCAATTATTAAAGTTCTGGGCCTGGAGTCAAGAAGACCTGAGTTCAGATCTGGCCTCAGACACTTACTAGCTGTGTGACTCTAGGCAAGTCACTTAACCTCTGTTTGACTTAATCCACAGAGAAGGAAATGGCAAACCACTCCAGTATCTTTGCTAAGAAAACCCCATGGCACTGTGCCTAGAGATACAATAATAAGCACTTTTACTCTGTTTCCTCTTTACCATGCCAGTTTCACCCTTGAGAGAGAAAGGTATCAGACCTCCGTTTTTATGAAACACAGCACCACAAAATTTTAGTCAGAACAGACCTCAGCAGCCATCCAAGCCCTACCTGAAGAGGAGTCCTTCCTACAACATTACTGAATGACAAATGGTTGCCAGTTCTCTGCTTAAAGACCTCCAATGAGGATGAACCCATCACCTCTCCCAGCAGTTGATTCCATTTTGGGATAGCCCTAGTTGATAAATTTCCCCAAAGCTAGGCTTCTATTTGTCTTTTTTCAATTTCTACTCATTGTTCCTTGTTCCACTCTCTGGGACAGAATAAACTGTAGGATCATAGATATGGAAATGGAAGGGACCTCAAACGTTGTTCCACCCTTCTCATTTCATAAATAAGGAAACTGAGGCCTTGGGAGGTTAAGTGACCTGCCTAGAGTCATACAAGTAGTTAGAATTAGAGGAACCTCGTTCCTTAGATTCCACTTTCCATATGACAACCCTTAAAATATGTAGACACAGCTATTTTGTCCTGTCTGAGTCTTCTTTAAGCTAAAAATCCCCATTTGCTTTAACTAATCCTCATCTGATATGGACTTACAGGCCCTCACTCTCCTGGTTGCCTTCCACAGAAGTTAATTGGCTTATTTATCCATGTTATTCCTTAAGTAAGGCCAGAAATGAACTCAGTACTCTGAAAGGGGCCTCTCTGACCATGGAAGGGGGGGGGACACAGAAATTGGAGCTAGAGGAGAGATTTTTCATTTTTCACTATACTTCTAAACAAGAAAGCCGAAATGATGATTTCCTACCACACCTAAGATGAAAGCAGCAGGACCAGAAGGGAAGAGACAGATATAAGAGGAATTGAGGCTAGTGGCAGAGCTCAAAGCTGGCACTAGGTTGGAGTGACTAGGCTTTTGATCCAGGGCATTTCTAACATGGCGAGCAAGGGGAAGGGGAAGGTACTTTCACCTCTGCCAGATCTCTCTTATATTCTTAGTGTGACCAACTCTATTACTTGTCCTTGAGCTGCTACACCTGAAAGGGACACATTAGGACATTTTTGTCACATTTTAGGATGAATAAGAAGCATAACTAACCTTCTTAAACCACTATACCTATCAATTCCCCATCCCCACTTCTCCCCGGAGATGTTCAGCTACTCCAAGAGGGTATGCTGGGCTGGACTCTCTGCCACTGCCCCTTGTCCATGCAACAGAGCTCTCTGTGGGGCTATGAAGATTAAAGTTGGCGTTATTTGACAAAGTAGGGTCCAAAGGCCTTCCAATAAGACAGCTAGATGGCATAGTGTTTAAAGTCAGAGAGACGAGTTCATATCTTGCCTTAGATACTTACTAATTATATGACTCTGGGAAAGTAACTAAGTCTTTCTCAGACTCAGTCTTCTCATCTGTAAAATAGACATAATAGTACCTGTCTCATAGGGTTGTTGTAAGGATCAAATGAGATAGCATAGGTAAAGTACTTTCAAAATTTAAAGCATTATGTAAATATTATTATTGTTGTTATCATTATAATTATTATTTCTACATCCCATTATGAGCACCCCCAGCCCTAATGATGACCTCTCAAATTCAGATTAATTTTGTCTTGAAGTCTCTGCCTCCTTTCCCAGGAAATTTCCTTCCAGGGGTCCTTGTATCCAATGGTCCTGGTCTTCCTAAGATCTCCTCCCACCCCACCCCCACCCACCACCTCCTCATTAATCTGTCAGAACTGATGTTTAAGAGTCATTGCCAACAACCCAAACTTTGATCCAGGAATCCTAGTCAAATAGAGCCCTAATCATCATAATGAAATGTCAACCAGAGAGTAAAGAAGTATAACCCAAGAGTCATTCAATGTCAGGAAGAATGAGTAGATAGATAGTAGATAGGGAGAGAGAGAGAGAGAGAGAGAGAGAGAGAGAGAGAGAGAGAGAGAGACAGACAGACAGACAGACAGACAGACAGACAGATAGATGGATACATAGATCTAGATCTATCTTTATGTCTATATACATATATACACAGCCCCATAAATAGTCCAGAAGTCAATACTGCATATGAAGAGCTATCTATGAGCTAGTTACTTGGGGAATAAGGAATTGAAATGTATCTTCCACAGAGCTGCCAAAATAATCTGAAATCACAACTTGGGCCCCATCGCTCTCTTCAAATCTTGCCTCAGATACTTACTAGCTGTGTGACCCTGGGCAAGTCATTAACCTTTCCTCAGCCTCAGTTTCCTCATCTGAACTTGCAGGGACTCCCTAATCCCTCTAAGATAAGATACAAACTCTTCATTCTATCATTTAAAGTTCTTCTCAGTCTGGCTCCAGTCTACCTTTGTAGACTTACTGCTTATTACTCCCCTTCAAATGTTTTATATTCCAGCCTAACTGACCTACTATTGGCTGTTAACAATAGCAACAGCTAACATGTTCATAGTGCCAATTATATACTAGGCACCAGGCTAAGTGCCACACAAATATCTTATTTTTTATCCTCACAACAACACTGGGAGATAGGTGCTGTTACTATCTGCATTTTACAGTTGAAGAAACTGAGGCAGACAGCAGTTAGGTGACTTGCCCACAGCCACACTTCTAGTAAGTATAGGAGGTCATATCTGAACTCAGATCTTCCTGACTCCAGCTCCACTGCTCTAACCACTGCACATCCTGCCAGTTGTTCTCTTTACACAGACACTTCTCCATTTCTGGAATGCATGTTTTAATCCACCTTCATTTCTTGTGACTTAAAGCTTCTTTCTAGGCTCAGTTCATATATCTTCCTCCTTCAGGAAGCCTTTCTTAATGTTCTTAGTTTTTCGTGCTTTCTCTCTCCTCAAAGTATCATGTTTACCACATGTGGTGGTATCTGTCCAGCACCATCCTTAACGATAGTCACTGCTTTCCATTTTATCTTTGTATCCCTAGCACCATGTCTTGGACATTCCCCACCCCACCCGCAACCCCCCCCAGCTTCTAATTTCATAGTTACGGGAAATCTCCCAGTGAGGAAACTCTTAGCAACTGTTCTGCAGTAGGAGAGTTGCCTGGGGCACTGAGAGGCTAAGGGATTTACCCAGAATCACATAGCCAAGCTGTGTCAGAAGCCAGCCTAGAACCCAGGCTTCTCTGACTTCCAGGGTACTTAGCACCTCCTCTTTGCCAAGTAGCTGCTTCATACTGTGTGTTAGATTGGATTGGATTAGCCTCAACAACGTGGTCTCCTAGACTCTGCCCAAGATACTGGCTCATTGGACGCCAGCTTCATGCTGGATTTTAATTCTATTCATTCACTTGAGCTCTTCCTGTGTAGCAGCCATGGGCAGCAGGCAGAGTTAGCAAGATGTGGCATTGATTTGGTATAGGGAGTGAAGGATAAGGAGGAGTCAATGATGCTCCCAACATGTCTAGGATAGGAAAGCAGGAAAAGGTCACATGGACAGGAACTAGGGAAATTGGGGGGGGGGAGAGAAAGAGTAGGCTTTTAGTAAATCAATTAACAAATATTTATTAAGCACCTACTACGTACCAGGCAGGGGTGGCTAGGTGATACAGTGGATAGAGTACTGAGCCTAGAGTCAGGAAGATCTGAGTTCAAATCCAGCCTCAGACACTTACTAGCTGTATGACACTAAGCAAGTCACTTAACCCTGTTTGCCTCAGTTTCCTTATTTGTAAAATGAGCTGGAGAAGGAAATGGCAAACGATTCTAGTATCTTTACCAAGGAAAACTCCAAATGGGATCACACAGAGTCAGACACGACTGAAATGACTCAACAATAACAACAGCATACCAGGCACTAGGCTAGGTGCTGGAGATACAAAGACAGAAGTGAAGCAGTTCTACTCTTAAGAAACTTACATTCTATAGGTGAAGGCAATATGCCTGGCACATAGTAGGCACTTAAATGCTAATTGACTGACTGACTGATCAACTATTTTCTTTTACCCGGGTGCTCGAACATTTCACATACTCTATCCATGGTAGGAGACAAATGCTTTTTGATTAATGAATGAATTATATAAAAGTAATTTTAAGACATGCTGAGGTTCAAGGCAACCAGCATGGAAGCAGGATTATAACTTCTAATTTACAGTCTTTGAGACAATGTAGTTACGTAATCTTTTTAGAAGCAGCTTTACAAATAGGTCACAACAGGCCAGGCACCATATCCTGCTCATTTTCCTGACAATGTTCTTAATACTTAGTATCAACTTAATCCTTCCTTAGCTGCTGCCTGTGAAGAATTAGGATCCAGCAATGATTCCTACATAATTGAAATAAATTCCCAGGCTAAGGACGTTACCGTTCGGGAAATAAGCTTTCTGATAGAGTATCTAAAAAGTCATACCAGGGAACTGTTGCAAGTCACACTAATGCTGGCGTTTATCTGAGAGGCAGTTTGGAATGATGGAATAAACAATGGACTGAGAATCAGAAGAATTCCGCCACTTCCTACCCGTATATGCCTGGAGACAAGACACTTGGCCACCTTGTCTCGTTTTTCCTCATTTTCCCCATCTATCAAATAAAGACAATAATGAAGGATTGCCACTTGTAGGTTTTTATCACATTTAATGCCTGACACACAGTAGATATTTAAGAAATATTTGCTGATTAATTTACTGACTTATAAAAATACTACATCAATATCAATGAACATTTTGGCCTTTTTATCTATTTAAATATTTATTTAATAATATTTATTTTCTTTTGGCCTACCCTGTGCCAAGTACTGTGAAAATTGCTAAAGATACAAAGAAAGGCAAAAGATTGTCCCTTCTCTCAAGAAGTTCACAACGTAATGAGGGCAGACAACTGTTAAAGGAAAATTTATTCTGATTAGCAAGGGGAAACACAGGACAAAGAGAATTAAAAGGAGTTTATTAAAGTACATCAAGGCAGCAACTCACTGATGGGCTGATAACTGTAGATCAGCAATGGCTTCAAAATGGAGCCAGCTTTTCTTGATAACTTTTGTAATGAAATAAAGACAATTCAGAAAGATCCACATCAATAAAAGGGGATCGGCCACTGCAGCTCAGTTCCTCCTCAAGGTAGCAAGGACTTGACAATTTACCAGTTACAAACCGGCAGGGAGCAATGTGCTACATGACAAATAGAAGGTAATACAAAGCTGCAGACTGAGTGAAACCTCCCCCTACATTGACTGACCAGCAGACCTGGGAACAATGAGTCACTGCGTCAGCATAACTTTGAATACAACATCCAAGTAACTGTACAAAAAAAGATATTCAAGACAAATTGGAAATAATCGTCAAAGTATACAAATAGGATGTATTATTAACGAAGTGATCATGTATTCTTTAACAGAAGTCAGTTCTTCTGCAGAGGTAGGGAGAGTGTGTCATTCAAGTCATTCTAAATCTAAAAATCATTGTGGACTTGAAGAAGTAGAAAAATCTGTATTTTCCCCATTTTTAAATCAATAGGAATAAGAAGTGAGTTAGTTGCACAACTCACAGTTTCTTATATTGACCAAGTTGAAAGTCTATTTTTGCAAAACTGAATATGATGTAATTATAATGACCAGTTTTGCCCCCCCAGATAAGAGATGAGGAAATAGGTTTTCTTCTTTTTGTTGGCGTAGTAGGGGACAATGGGTATGGAATACTGTATACATTTTCAGATATGATAAATGTTGCTTTCGTTTATGATCCTGGTGGCAGGAAGTGGAGGATATAATCCAGAAATCACTATTTGTAAAAACAAAAGGTACACATAAAACTTATTTGGAAGACAATTTTTAGGATCATAGGACTTATAGATAGAGGTACCTTGAAGATCATCTCTTCAGTTTACAGATGAGAAAACCGAAGCCCAGAGAAAGGAAGTAATTTTGCCCAAGGTAGCACAAGCAGCAAAGCTCAAATTCAACCCAACTCCTCTGATTCCAAATTCAGCACTCTTTCCACCACACCCCAGGTTCCTGGCTGGTTGCACTCTACTAGGTAACCATTTAACATGACCATGAATAAGGGGTGTGCTGGAGCCAGCTCAAACCAACTCTCAAGAGCCAATTGTTAAATTTCAGTGTGATCATTTACACCTTGAAAATTAGCAAATGCTACTCAAATGAAATGTGGAAGAGGTAAACAGGAAAGAGAAATCGTAAGAGACTTATTAAGGTTGAACTGTTTACATTCCTGCATGGAAAGATGATATTTGTAACTCATGAGTCCTTTGTCAGTATTAGGGTAGTGGAAGGGGAAAAAAATTATATGTAGATAGATAGATACATAGAGAGAGAGAGAGAGAGAGAGAGAGAGAGAGAGAGAGAGAGAGAGACAGAGACAGAGAGAGAGAGAGAGAGAGAGAGAGAGAGAGAGAGACAGAGAGAGAGAGAGAGACAGAGAGAGAGACAGAGAGACAGATAGATAGATAGATAGATAGATAGATAGATAGATGATAGATAGATAGATAGATAGATAGATAGATAGATAGATAGATAGATAGATGGCACAGGGTAAGGTGAAGATGAACAGGGGATATCTGGAAAATAAAATTAAGGAGTGAGAGGATTACTGGGAGAAGGAGAAAGGGAGAAGTAGAATGGGGCAAATTAGCTCACATGAAACAGACAAGAAAAGGCTTTTACAGTGGAGGGGAAATGGGGAAAAGTGAGAGGGAATGAGTGAATCTTATTCTCATAGGATTTGACTTAAGGAGGGAATAACATACACAATGGGGTATGGAAATCTGTCTTACCCTACAGGAAAATAAGGGGGGAAGGGGACAAGAGAGCAGGAGATTGATAGAGGGGAGGGCAGATTGGGGGAGGGGATAATCAGAAGCAAACACTTCTGAGGGGGACAGGGTCAAAAGAGGGAATAGAATAAATGGGGGGTAGGATAGGATGGAGGAAAATATACTTAGTTTTTCACAACATGACTACTACAGAAGGGTTTTGCATGACTACACATCTATAACCTGTATAGAGATGTTTGCCTTTTCAATGAGGGTGGGTGGGGAGGGAGGAAGGAAGGAAGAAAATTTGTAACCCATAGTTTTAAAAACACATGTTAAAAATAAATAAATAAATAAGATCCATACTGAAAGTGACATCAAACAGCAAGAAAGAAAGAAAGAAAGAAAGAAAGAAAGAAGAAAGAAAGAAAGAAAGAAAGAAAGAAAGAAAGAAAGAAAGAAAAAGAAAGAAAGAAAAAGAAAAGAAAGAAAATTAGCAAATGCTGTAACTTGGTTTTTAGGGCAGCTAGGTGGTGCCTTGGATAGAGCACTGGGTCTGGAGTCAGGAAGACCTGAGTTCAAATCCAGCCTCAGACACTTACCAGCTGTGTAAGCCTGGGCAAGAACCTATTTGCCTCAATCTCTCATCTGTAAAAATGAGTTGGAGGAGAGTTAAACACAACCGAAATGATTAAGCAACATGCCCCTATCCCTTCATGACCTGTGAACACCCTTCTCCGAGAGAATTAAGGGCTTGAAATAACTAAGCTAAGGTGAAGCCAAGAGGCCAGGGTAGAGAAAGCACTCAACTGAGCTCTCCCAACATTCCCCTTCAAACAACTTTAAACTAACATCTCAAATCGAATTCTAGAATGGCAGAGGCAACAAATAGTCAGAATGACCCTTTCTTCCAACCCAAGAAAACTTAGGAGGCTGTAAAGAGAGATCTGTGACATAAAGGTGGAGGCTGGCCCAAAGCCCACATGGATGAACCACTGGTGGTGGGACCAGGTGGTCGTGACAGAAGCAGCAGCAATGGTAGCTTCAAGAGTTCTCAGTCAGACGAGGTTAGGGAACCTGGCATCTGATCAGAAAGAGATTACAGGGGACCCCTGTGCTAGCATTGGACATAAAACCAAATGCTGTTTGACAACTCCATTACTTACACTCACTTCTGAGTCATAATGGTTTCAGTCAAGAGGGACTGAGAGCCCTGAGGAGCAGTATTGCTTTTGGTCACAAGGGATCAGAGACCCTGTGGAATAGTATCACTTCTGGTCCCAAGATGGCAGGGTCCCTGAGGAAAAGTATTGATTGTAATCGCAAAGGATCAGTGGCCCTTCCTGGGTAAGGACCAGAGTGCAGAGCAGAAGAGGAGTGACCACATTTCTCCTCAGATCATGTCACTTTAGAATACAAAAAACTTTCAAACCCCTCGAACTAGCTCTGAAAGCAATATTATAAAAAAGTCTGAAGCTTGAGATGGTGCCCTTCCCTCCCTCCCCATGCTGGAAACAGAGCCCAACTTTAACAGAAAGTTCAAAATCAAACTATGGAGTGAAAAAAATAAGCAAACGATAAAAAAAGAACCTGACCATAAAAAATTACTGTGGTGACAGGGAAGATCAAGACACACACTCAGAAAAAGACAACAAAGTCAAAACAGCTACAAGAAAAGCCTTAAAAATATATGAATTGGACACAAGCCCAACAAGAATTCCTAGAACATTATTTTCAAAACTAAATAAGAATGATAGAGGGAAAATCAAATAAAGAAATGAGGACAAAGGAAGAAAATTATGAGAAAATAATTAATATCTTGGGGAAAGAGGCACACAAAAAATGCTGAAGAAAAAACACCTTAAAAATAGAATTGGCCAAATAGAAAAAGAGGTACAAAACTTTACTGAATGAAAACTTTGATGAAAATAACTCCTTTAGGGGCAGCTAAGTGGTGCAGCGTATAGAGCACTGGTCCTGAAGTCAAGAGAACCTGAGTTCAAATCCGGCCTCAGACCAAACAGTTGACACTTACCAGCTGTGTGACCCTGGGCAAGTCACTTAACCCCAATTGCAAAAAATAATAATAATAATAACTCCTTTAAAAGCAGGTAATTACTGAGTTGGTTGCTGCAGGGTTGTGGGTAGCGCCTGGATACAACCTCCATCTTGTAGGGTAAATCTCCCAGAAGATATCTATCCCAGGTTCAAAATGCTTTAGAAGTTTGCCTCCTGAGAAACTGTAGCTCACAAATCCCCACCAATATGTTTATCTTTAATAGCCAGCCTGAAGACACAATTAGTTCTAGGCAAAGGCATTTAATGAAATAGCATGAGACAAGTAACAACAAAATACATCCCCCATAAACCTAGGCCATACTATTCCACAATACATAGCATCAGTGGGAAAGAATGTTCACAAATAGGGAATATGCATGGAGAAGCACACCTGTAAGGAACACATATGGCCAAGGTATTCATATGGAGGGACAACACATACCTTCCATACTGTAAGTCCACTGTTCCCCCTGGGGCCACTAGTCTTTACTGGATAGGTCTGTTCTCTTCATCTTATTGTTCTCTGCCAGTCACTACTCTGATAGACACATAGTCTACACTAGATGCTTTCTGTGTGACATATAGTCTCCAATTGTTTCCAATGCTTTGAGCTTCTGGGTCAGCTAAAAGTCTTGGCTATCTCTTCTTCAAAGAAGAATTAATATTGCTATGTTCCCTTAGCTTAATTGTAATTGTATGTGTGGTTTTTTTTTTCAGCTCTTTTATAAGATACACCCATGCATAAG